TTTTTCAGCCATTCCGCACTGCCCTTTTCGGTCGGTTTTAGGGCTCAGGCTTAAGAGAGAAATCTACTGTACCAGTTTAATTAGGGGGTCACAGGTAAGTAGTGAAATGCATTGGGAGGTAACTTTGGCTTGGGGGGTCTCCACTAAGGTTGGCAGTGTGTCCAGTAGCAGAGGCAAGAGTGAGAGCCACCATACCTGTGCAAAATGTACAGCCTTGGACACTGATCTGAACAGCTGCCTGGGGGATGGCAGCCAGAAGTGCTTCACTGCATTAGGTCACCCAGGGACAAAGAAAGTCTGGTTTACCCAGCAGTTCCACTTCTGTGATGATAGATCATTTGGGAAACTAGCATTATGTTTTCTGAATAGCCAGGTCCCCAATTTAGGATTGTACATCGTGGTCCTTCTCAATTCCATCAATCATGCTGTTGCCTTATTCTCTGTCTCCTTTAAATCTATGTCTTCATGGAGGGACAGTAATCCCCTCCCTCTTGTGCTAGTATTTAATTCTCCTCCTTTGCACACATTAAGCATGCATTTTAAAAGTGTGCATTAATGTAATACATTAGATTGGCTCACAGAACAAATGCAAAAAGAAGCAAAGTTAAGAGTGGAAGGGAAAGGGTGAAATTGAGAGAGAGGCAAAGCAGAAAGAAGAGACTTAATGGAGCAATCTTATGAATTGATTTATTCTGAATTCTGTTGCATTGTGCTCCGCGAGGCTGTCTGGAGGTAAGTATGCATAAGATTACAGTCATTAAATAATCAAGTCCAGACAGAATAAGAGAATTTGCCACAATCTTCGTAACAGAACAAACAATGGCATCAGAAGGGGAAGTGTTCTTCTTCATGCAAAATTCCAAATAGTACCAACAATAGAATTAGCACCCATTTGTTTGCCAATGCTCATAATAGGAGAGGCCTGCTGACATGCCTCGTATTGAATCTCTGCTATTATGCCACATCAAATACTGATTACAACGCACTTGTCTGTATTTTGCAATAGACAAATATTTAAGTATGATAGATCATGGAATCCATAAAATCTTTCTTCTCTTACATACATAACGATCATAGGAAGGGCAGAAGTGAATGCAGCAATTAATGATGAATACACTCTTCACTCTACCAAATTAAAATTAGTATCTTATTCCCCTCACATTTATTTGTTGGTTTTCTAAGCGAACTGTGAAATTTAGTAACCAGACTTAGAACAGATGCTACTTCTAATTTTAAATGGTAATTGTACACAAATTTCATTAACATTGGATTGTGCAGTGACTCCCTCTTTTCGTTAAGCTTCTACTTCTGCCTTGTTAAGAATTGTTTTTCAGAAAGAAATCTGCTGGGGTGAAATTGCAGTCCTCTGTCAAAAGACTGTTCTTTATTTCTGTAACTGTCAGCATAGCAGAGGTGAATTTGCCTATTAGCCAATCAAGACTTACTTGTCAGTTCATGGAAACAAGCCTAACCTTTGAATTTCTTGCAATCTCTTCTTTGAGCATTCATTACCAAACTAACTCAAATATAAAAGCTACATCTTCAATTTATTTGTGTAAGCCAATGAAAAAGAGGGGGAAATAATACCATTTGCATTGAATGAGTCACCTTTCTTCAATGCATTCAATTCTTTATACACTACTATAACAGAGTATTTGGGTTAAAGTACAATTTATTTAGATTGATTGGGCTCTCTTTAAAAATGGGCATATTTTCCCTAGAATTCTGCAACAAGTTAGAGGCTTGGGAGTTGTAGTATGACATTGTAGTAAGAGAATATTAACACTATCAGTCTTTGTTTGCACCTTCAATAATTTATGGATGTCAGATTTTCTCTTAATGCAGAGGATGGAGCCGAATGTTTTCTATTGGCCTTATGTATTATTTAAACCAATAAGTTCAAATTAAGAAAAGGGAATCTCCACTAAATATGATACGTCCTTCCTAATGTTATATGAGATATTCAACACTGGAACATACCTCTTTGCTAGAGGCTCTTCTGCAGAGATTGGCTGACCAGGGGTGTCCAAAAGCAGGCCAGGGGGGCGGAGGGAGGAGATAAAAAAAGTCAATAGAGCAGCCAGGACCATACAATCAAAGTCCAGCACGTTTTTAATTTGTGTCACAAATTAAGGGCAGGGTTCCAATCACAATTGTGGCTGCCAATTTGACTTCATCTTTTTTTACAATTGTCATTAAATTTGAAGTTAAAAAAAATAAAAACACTTGCTTTGATTTATAAAAAAAAAAAAAATCTCCAAATCAGTCTGGAAATCAGTTCTGCCTGAAACTCAGGATGGTACTCCTGTGCTAGCCAGCCTTTCTTACATTGATGCCCTCAGGAAGTGTTGGACTAAAACACTTATTATTCCTCAGCCAGAACACCCACACTGCCTCAAATTAGATAGAACTCAAATAGACAAGTGAGCTGATTTGAAACAAAGCAGCTTCTTTGCTTCCAGTTCCATGTGTCGAGAAAAGCTTTTATGCAGAAAAAGCAAAGTCTAATTCAAATTATGGCTGCCTGTCAGTACTGCAGACTCAAAGATTTTGCTAGAGTGCACCACCCAGAAACATCCTATTAGATAAGTTTGCATCTTCATGAGTACATGTGAATCCGTCCACACTGACCCTGATCATACTATGAGTATGCCGGTGTATGTGTTACTATCTTAAAAATGGGAGCAGCAAACACATTCTAAATATGTTTTGGTGTACATTCATTACTCAGTTCTTTCCCTCTTCCATTTATTGAATATCTGTGGATTTTAGTTACTTGCGCTGGACTATAGCATTCATTCTAAGTCTGTGGCATGATTTGAAAGGAAATGCATAAGATGTGTGTTCAAAAGATTCTTATTGAAGGCAATAATTGGCCTTTACTCAGCAGCTGGCCATGATCATTGTCACAATATATTCGTTTATTATCTGACCATCAAGAGTCCTTGTATTCTACTCACTACAATATCATTTCCTTTTTTTCAATTATTGGGATTCTACTCTGCACAACCAGTTCAGCTCCTCTATCCTCATTCTACAGAGTAATTGTTAATGGACTGAACAGTTGAATCAGATTCCCCCCAGCTTCACTTGACTTTCTGGCAGAGAGATGGATATCTGAAACTGGCATCTGAGAAAGTTAACTACCATCTTTCAAAACTTTAGGAGCAGTGAGGTGAAGAACCCTCTCAGCTTCCATTAGGCACCTGTAGCATGGCAAACACCAAAAGCATACTTAGAGTCGGTGAAGATACTAATAGTTTTGTCTCTGGCAATACAACAAGCTTGAATTAAGGCAGTAAGTTCAACTGCTTGGGCCCCCAAGGAAGGTGGCAAGGGTTCTGCCCAGCAGATAAAAAAAAATAAATCACAGCCCGTTTCTCATAATTAATCCAAATATTAATTTAACAAAAGGTATAAGAAAAGGTGAAAGAAAATAGACAATTGGCATAAAAAATTGAGCACTTCCCATGTTGTGTGTTCTATTAAATTCTGTGCCCATTCATAAATAAATGTTAATAAGTAAATTAACCATTTTCTAAAGGCACTAAGCAAGGATGCCAATTTTCCCCTTTGATTTTTTGTATTTGTTTGGAACTTCCAGCTTGTGTTTTTGGACAAGATTGTAATATTTGTGGTTTATAAGTAAATTAGAGAGCTAGTTTGGTATAGTGGTTAAGGCATTAGGCTAGAAACTGGGAGACTAGGAGTTCTAGTCCCATCTTAGGCACAAAGCCAGCTGGGTGACCTTGGGCCAGTCCCTCCCTCTCAGCCCCAGAAAGGAGGCAATGGCAAACCACTTCTGAGAATCTTGCCAAGAAAACTGCAGGGACTTGTCCAGGCAGTCACCAGGAGTCAACACTGACTCGAAGGCACCCCACTCCCCCCAAAAAATAAATTAACTATAGCAACAGAATAAGAAAATAATACTTGGATTTTTTTTAATGCAATAAATAAGAGCTGATGCATATTAATTGTTATCAGTTGTCTTGGGATCACTAGGATGAGGAATTGTTCCAGTAAAGAGAGCCAACTTTGCACAGTCAGAACTAGCAGTGAAACATTAACTTTGCCCCTAGGGCCCAGTTAAAGGGCAGTGGAGTATTTGGGCAGGACCCTGGCAGTCACAGAGAGAGCAGCTGAAAGCCACAGACTCCCCATCTATGTCCTAGAAGCAAGAAGAAATGTAAACTGTATCAATCAATCTTTCTTACACTCAGACAAGGCTGAAACAGCAAACGAGGTTAATAAGTTAAAATTTGTGGTGTGAATTCATTGATTTGCATTGCTATAGTCAAACACCTCATGGAAGTTTCTGCAATAGCTTGGTAAAAGCGCCTCATGTACAGTAAAGCTGACCACAGATGTACAGTAAAGCCATCAGAGTTCTTGGAGCCTCTTTCCAACTCTAAATTGTAGAAGAGGTAAAATAATCAAGAAAATGCCTCTGAACATTTGCTTTATGCACATGTTGCTGTAGTTGTTTCAATTCATGTTCATACAAAACAGGATTGCTTCCATACAAGTAGACATGGTTTCTAATCAAGGCATTTCTCCTTTTGAAGCCCTGTGAGCAGCTTAGCCCCTATGGGACTGGTTCAGATTTCAGGGAGCTGCTAGGATCATGTGAAATATTCTTAAAGCCATACTTTAGATGAGTAGAGAAGGGAAAGGATGTTTCATTCTCTCATTCATTCTCATACGAGGCACATTTCTCCCAGCCAGACTCCTTGAAACCCAAATGAAGAAAAAGTTGATAATACTTACTGCATGGCTGGGTGGTGAGCCATCGACAGGGTCTGATTCAGTACTCATGATTCATATGCTTTTTTGCTTAAATGGACACCTGCTTACCCTCCAGTTTTGGTATGAATAAGATAAACGCATTTTAAAGAAAATGGCTGAAGTGCTGTCAAAGTGTGTGTGATTTTTAAAAAATGAAACGTTCCTTTGTCTTAAAAACTTTATTTTTTTTTAAAGACCAAGCTAAGACACTGGAGGACTGTGCATTGCCATTCATAACAGCACTTTTACAGAAGAGGCAAACCGTATATCTGAGCATAAGAAATGTCATAATGAACATACATGCAAACTTCATTTTTGGTTTATAACAGGATGGGATACTGCTACCTTATTTACTTTCCTGGTGGGTCTTCATAAGTGCAATCACAGGTGAAGAACAGCCAAGGATAGAGATGCCACCCCAAAACACAAGCTGCAGAAAGCACATTACTACTAAATTAAATAAGCAGCACTGAACTGCACTGCTATCCAGGGAAATCCTATGTTATCTATGAACATTAAAGCAGGAAAGTTTTCTACCCGATAAGCAAATGACACCAGCAGATCAATCTGCAACTTATTTCAGATAAATGCTTAGAATCCCTGTTCCACTGAGAATTATCAGATTTGTTTCCAAATACTTCAGCATAGATCAGTTTGTAAAGTTCAGTGTTTGCATTTTTTTTCCACTCCAAGCAAATGCCTCAAGTGCTTCAGCCCTGCTTCATGAGTTAAGGATACTGCATGAATATAATATTCACTTTTTCATTTCTTTGGAGTGTTTCTCACTTTCTTAATACTTCCCATATACATATATAGAAATTGCAGCTCATATTTTAATTAATTAAAATACTAGTAGATTCAGCATGTGCTGAAAATGCACCTCTGAGAACCATTACACAAAATTGTTAGGAAATAGGAAAGAAAGCCAGAAGTAAGATCATGAAAGGAGTTAGATTCCAAGATATAAAACAAGACATAGGCTTAACTACTGCTAAAAGAAATAAACAAAGGAAATGCATTGTGCCCCTGGAGATACATGAAAGAAAGAAAGAAAGAAAGAAAGAAAGAAAGAAAGAAAGAAAGAAAGAAAGAAAGAAAGAAAGAAAGAAAGAAAGAAAGAAAGAAAGAAAGAAAGAAAGAAAATGGTAGGTGAACAAATTTGACAATGACAAAGACAGGGCAGTAGCCAGCCAGAGATAAATTCAGACCAATAACATTGAAATGTGGACAAGCTAAAAGAAAAAATAACCAAACACATAGATAAACAAGCCTTACTGAAAGAAAATCAGCAGTATCATGAGGTGACATGTTGATAGGACTACCTCTCTGATTTATTATCAGAGTGCACCAATACAGCTAGACAGGGCATCATCTTAATCATATGAACTTCAAATAATTACAAACTGAAGCTTAAGTTTGAAAGCTATCATTTGTCCTCCAGAATTTCCCTGCAACTGAAATATAATTCAGTTTGTGTTATGCTGACCCCGAGTGTCAGTTCAACAGGAAAACTACATAGTTTGAAATAAAGTGAGGTTAAAAACAAAATAAAGCATGGTGTGCCTTGACTTTTAGGAAACCATCTAAATGCCCCCCCCCCCTTTTTATCTTCAACATAAAACTTTGCTGCCAAATACCTGAATCTTTTGGCATAAAGGACTCTCTTTTGTCTGCAACATTTCAATGCTGCCATCAGTTCTACCTACCAATGTTTTTTCTCCTCTCCCTTTTTTTAAAAAAAACATTTACATCAGTAATGTGCAAAGTGGTTCAATATTACTACTGTTTTTGGTTCTGAAGTCATCAGAAAGAACTGACTTTACATTTAAAGACATGTGGTTGAAAGCTCAAAAATACAGAGAAATATTATTTAAGCTTCTCAAACTTTCTCCACTTCATGAAGTAAAAATACTCCAAGCATCAGCAGTGCATTTATGTTGCATTATTATAACATTCACTCTTTTTATTAAGATTCATTTGGGGGGAGTGGGGCAAACTAGAATACAGCAAAGATGCGGGAATACATCTCTGTGTAAATACAGGCTGGTAGGAATAGAGTTTATGTACATTGTATATTTTCCTGTGGGAACAAAGCTACTTGGATAAATATGGTTAAACCAATTCTCCCCAATGTTTCAAATCCAGCTTTTTTATCCTCTCACATACGCTATTTTCAAAACAATTTTTACCATATCTGGCTTTTTGCTTGTACATTGTGGCTTTAGACACTTGTACGTTGTGAGAATGGTGATCCATTGCACTGGTTTTCTTTTGCTTCCAGGTTCTTCTTGGCTTCGAGGGCAGGGGACACATTGGGATGGATAAAATCAAGTTGCTGTTCGCACTGGAAAGCTGTCAGGAAAGCTGTTCTGTAATTGCTATTCATCCATCCATAGAGGAGTGGATTGGCGAAGGTGGAGCACATTGCAATGACATGAAAGAGTGTGTAGATTAGTTTATATTCCTGTAGATCCAGAACTTTGCTGTCAATATCACTGACAAGTTGAAAAATATGAAAAGGCAGCCAGCAGACTGCAAACACCACCACTACACATACCAGCATCTTAGTAGTTTTCTGGCGCCTCTGATGGTAGTGATCATTCGCTGCCCCAGGACTGATGTGATTTTTTAGTTTACTCCAGATACGCACATAGGCATATGAGATAATCACCAAGGGCAAGACATATTGGATGAGGAACATCAGGACACTGTAAACAGTACCATAATTCACCTGCCCTTCCCTGGGCCAGGTTTCTGCACAGACCACCATTGTGAAATCATGATTGAGCTCAATGGAAAAATATTCTCGGAAGATGGCCAGGGGACTGGCTAACACAGCACTGCCAGCCCAGGCCGTTCCAATGATCAGGAAACTGATTCTTGTAGAGATTTTGCTCTCTAAATGATACACAATGCAGCGATGGCGGTCCAAGGCTATCACGGTCAAAGTAACAATTGATACTTGCACTGCAAGGCCTTGGGCATAAGGCACAAGATGACACAGTACTGGACCAAGCTTCCATTCTCCCAGCAAGGTATAAACCAAAGTGAAAGGCAAACAGAGTGTGTTCACCAGCAGATCAGCCACAGCCAAGTTGGCAATGAAGAAATTTGTCACAGTTCGCATGCTCTTGAACTTGATCACCACGTGGATCACCAAGGAGTTGCCTATTAACCCCAGCAAGATGATAACACAGTAGGCACAGATCAGAATGATCTGGACCTCAACCAGATGAGTGCTGTCTTTCAAATCTTGCTTGGGGTTAGTGGGCAGGTCACTGTATGTTTTTGCAAATCTTGGCAAGTTCATTGTGGAAGAGAGGCCCATTTCAGTTAAGCTTGTCTGGTTTCCTAAAGTTTTGTGTCTTCCCATCAGTCCCATGTTGCCTGCAGGTAGGATAAATGCAAAACATGATGAGGCTTTTCTTACGAATTCCATGAAGATAAATATATGAAATAGAAAAGAGTATAAAACTATGCATAGGGAAAAGTAGGTAAATTAAGTTAATCTAGCAGTCAAAAGAAATTGGTCCCTGGTTCCAATTTTATCACAGCATGAATTCTGAGGTGCCCCATGCAAGTAAAATTCTCAGAATTTCAGTTGTTCTTATCTTTGACATAGTAATAATAATACAGATCTCTCAGATAACTGGTATAGAGTGTGACTCCTGGAAAGTATTAATAATTATATGCGGTCTCATTATTAAACTGCCTGTGATATCTGCAAATCAAAAGTAGCAAGAATAGCAGTTAAAACAACAACATATTAATAATCTCAAATCACAATTGCTATTTGTTCTTTGGTTATAGGAAACCAACATTATTAATTGCATTCATGAAGATGTTTTCCAAATACAACTTTTTCTTCTACAACAATTTATAGGACAACGTTCCATTAAACACTTCACACTGGCTAGTTTCTGGAACGCTTACAAAGTTTTATCCCACCCCAGCTGCCCAGAGCTGTCTGGAGTGGGTGGCCATAATACATTGTTGTTGTTACTATTTTATTATTATCTAAAGTGCATTAACAGACTTAATTTATTTGGGCTCCAAGATCACCGCAGAGGGAGACTGCAGCCATGAAATTAAAAGATGCTTGCCCCTTGGGAGGAAAGCTATGGCAAACCTAGATAGCATATTAAAAAGCACAGACATCACCTTGCCAACAAAGATCCACATAATCAAAGCTATGGTTTTTCCAGTAGCAATGTATGGCTGTGAGGGCTGGATCATAAAGAAGGCTGAGTGCCAAAGAATTAATGCCTTTGAACTGTGGTGCTGGAGAAGACTCTTAGGAGTCCCTTGGACTGCCAGGAGGTCAAACCAGTCAATCCTAAAGGAAATCAACCCTGATTTCTCATTGGAAGGATTGATACTGAAGCTCAGGCTCAGATACTTTGGTCGCCTAATGCGAAGAGAGGACTCTGGAAAAGACCCTGATGCTGGGAAAGATTGAAAGCAAAAGGAGAAGGGGACAACAGAGGTGAAATGGTTAGATAGCATCACTGAAGCAATGAGCATAAAACTGAGCAAGCTCAGGGAGGCAATGAAGGACAGGAAGGCATGGCACAATATGATTCATGGGGTCACGAAGAGTCGGACACGACTTAACAACTGAACAACAACAACAAAGTGCATGCTCAGAATCTCTATGCCAGTTCTCTGCTGATTAAAAGACCCAAAATGGGGCATTCTCCACATTCCCTTTGGAATGTTCACAGAAGATCTGTTCTGATTATTTTTCCTCCAACTACATTAAATAAAATTTAATGTAATTATATTATATTAAATGAAAGGGAAATTTAAAAGGCTACATGTGGATTGACCCCACAGTCCATCAGGGGCTACCTGCCTATGAAAAGCTGTGGCAGTGGGGGTTATGCCTGGTTAGGACCTGCTGGTAGGTCCCAAACATTGGTGCTTTCTTGGCCAGTGATTCTCTCTGGTTATTACCCCAGAACTGCTTTGCCAGTGTTTTTTTTTTCAAATGATGCATATGCAATCACTGAAGTACAGTCATGTCTACCACCATCCTAGTGTAGTACAAATAATAGAGCAGAACTGTTCTTTTCAGAAGAGCGATTCAGTATGGGCTAGCATAATCGAAACACCCAACAAAACAACTTTTAAGTGCATTTAATAAAATTGAAATCTATCCCTTGTTGGACATGCACCACCAATCCTCCTTTCTCCTGATTGTTCCCCCCTATTCCCCAGTCAAAAGTTAGAACAGGATTCATTGCTTCTGTGCTCTATAAAGCAGCATGTTGTTTAAAAAAAATTTTTAATTAACATAGCTTCAGATAATATATTATCATCAAGTAATAAACCAACCAAATTGACACCAACGATTTATCAACATTTATTTATGCATTTATTTGTTAGATGTGCACCCTAGTTTTCCTCCAGAAGCCCAAGGCAGCATATGTAGCACTTCCTTCTCCAATCTTTCCACGTAACAACCCTGTGAGGTAAGCTAAAAGAGAATGACTGCTTCACAGTCAGCCCATGAGCTTCCACAGCTGAGGTACCTGAGGTCCTAGCCTAACATCTCAATCACTACACTACACTGGTTATCAAAATATAAATATAAACTTTGATGTTAAAGGTGCTGTTTCAGAAAGGAGGATAAAAGGAAATAATTCTGCTTCAGCTCCCAGCCTCAGCATTCCTTTCAGATTACTCTAAGAAGGGTGAATGATAACATCTGTGACCATTTAAACAGAACTAATACTGTATGTGGAATTTCATTTTCTTTTAAAAGACCTGTCTGCCAAAGCATTGTGTTTCCATCAGTACAAACTGTACTGTAAAATAAACAATGAAAGAACAAGAACCATGTTTAATGCTGTGGGGTGTTTATATAACATATTTAGTTTGAAATTAAATTTTAAAAACACATTTTAAAATGACTTAAGGTAATGTTTCTCTGGCAGTGGAATACAGCTGGTTGCCAAAAGAAGAAGAAATATCTTTTACTTGGACATCAGAGGCTAAAGAACACCTGAAGGAATGGTAAAAGAAAATGGGGTGAAATTTAACTTCCATTGGGCTTTCATCACATTTCTACTGCCCCAGCAATAATATTTATCTAACCCCAGCAATAATAAATTTCTGTAGGAAAGAATGGAATGGAATGGTGTTTCTAATACCGTTTAAAGTTGTCAAAACTCTTTACATTATTCACTGAATATTTAAAATGGCCTTACAAACGTGATACCTTCCAAAAATTCCCCACAACTCGACCAATTTTGTCTGGGAATAATAGGAGTTGAAGTCTAACATATCCGCTTAGCACCAACAAAAAGCCACAAATACACATACACACACCGTTGTGCAAATGTTCAGGATATGCAGAAGTCTTCAAAGGGGGTAAGGAAAAAGCAGAGAAGTATGATGAATCCAAAAGATCTATAGCTGTATAGTAGGAATATGATGGATTTCTAGTCACATTTAAAATGATACACATAACATTTTTAACCCTTTGCCACATTGTTAATTGTTATCTATTGTTGAATTACCTGGATTCACCCTTCCTATCAAATGAACATACACCAGGCATTGTTTTTCTAGTTGCATGGACAAGCCTTCACTCAGGTTAGTGAAAACTGAAATGAACATCCTTTCTTTACTGAAATTCTGTATGCACTACTTCACAGGAAGTTGTTGGTATAGTGCATTCCCATGATCTGTTGTTCTATTCTTTATATCTACCTATATGAAAAGCATTTGTATCTCAACTGTGATTGGGGGGGGGGGGGGGGAAGAGAACCACAAGGGCAGAAGGACTAATTATATTTATTCATTAATTCATTCAACTGTTATGCCTTAAAGCAAAAACAGACTATAATACAATTTTACTTGCCACCAAGATCCTATTAAATTTTAATCTAACTGCCATGAAAATGTTTTCCTTCCATTTCTTTCATTAAAAAAAGTTGTCTTTAAACATGTATGAGAGCTCTTATTCTCTTTAAAATTACCTCTCCTTTTCTGTTGATTAAATAAATCCCTAGCCATATGTACATGCACGTTTCATAACTATGAGCCAAATAATGTGTTATACGCAGCTATGAATGTTTTTCTATATTTGGTGCCTACTTATTTATTTTAAATAATCACAACTATTCCTTGGAGGAAGCGAGTCTCAGGAGTGAATGTGTCAGAACCTTCAGCAATCCAAATATTAATGTAATAGTTGCTTGCTTTGTTTCTGCCATTCTTTAGGAGGGGGGAGGGGGTAATGAAAGTAGAAGGAAATGGTATGCTATCAAAGGCCAGGAAGATGGACTGTTATCGAAGGTTAGGAATGTGCAAGGTCACACCTCTGTGAGAAACAGAACAGAGTCTGGAAAGAGGGGGGTGAGAAGTAGGGGTAAAAGTAAAGTGGGAAAAGCACGGGTTTTCGGTTCAGCAATGCTTTGCTTAGAGTTGCATGTACGTTCCAATAAATGAAATCTTTTTTGCCTAACTCGGGTTGCACGAGATTTTTCTTCATTGGGATCTGAACATCGCAGATCTGACAGAATGGTTGTGTTGAACCATTCATTCACACTTTCCACTTTCTTGCTCAAAGTCAACAACTATCTTTTTCCCATTTATATGGGGAAAAGAATGGTGTTTCCATATTTTCTCTCTACCTTCAACCTGGCCACAGACACAGGTTTGGATGGAAATCAAGCAAGTAAATGTCCAGAGACCAAAAAGGTAAAGTAGCTTCTTCCATGCCTGTGTTTCTTACATCATGTTTGTCTGGATATTGTAAAGCCATGATTCCTTGAAGATGCTGAATTTATTAGAAATATGATAGACGATTGGCAGGGTTTTTTCATTTTCTTTTTGCCTGAAGTTGACTAGAGAATGGTCCTTATATATTCAGGAACTGGCCACTTACTGTATGCTTTAGAATACATCTCTTGATTGACAGATTTAAAAATGTGTATGCCATCCATTCTGATGTTGTAGCTCTATATGGTTTCAAAATATCAATGTACAACCCAATCCAAACCAACAAACCATTAAAACTCAATAATATTAAAATTCTTAAACACTTCACAAAATTGTGAAATGTTTAAAACACCTTCTAAACTATAGCACAGAGGGGGCCAGCCTCAATTTCAGGGGGAAAAAAATGTTCCATGGTTTTGGCCCCACCAAGGAAAAAGCAGAAATATCTGTTGATGTTAATTACAACATTGGGTGAACCTGCAGAACAGTGTCATCCACACGGGGAATCAAAAAAGTCAAGATAGTTGGTGCAGCAGTGTGATTGAAGTCCTACCCTTTTGTACTGTATGTGTATGTGATGTCACCATCTTGAGTTTCTTCTCCATCCCCACCCCATGGATGTCACTGCTGCAAAAGGGCTTCACTGAAGATTGAAGAATATGCAGCACATTGTATAGGCAGAGATGGTCCCACACTCAGAACGTAACTGGAACTAGGGCAGCTCTTTCGTGACAGGAATGATGGGAAACTTCCTGGAACACCACTCACCACCTACACTACCCCCTCCAAAACAAACTGTCAGCTACTGAAGCTACCTCAGTGTTGTCCAAACTTGGTCACTTTAAGATGAGTGGACTTCAACTCCCAGAATTCCCCAGCCAGCATGGCTGGCTGGGGAATTCTGGGAATACACAGCAGGTAGCTCAGTGTTGTCCAAACTTGGCCACTTTAAGATGAGTGGACTTCAACTCCCAGAATTCCCCAGCCAGCATGGCTGGCTGGGGAATTCTGGGAATACACAGCAGGTAGCTCAGTGTTGTCCAAACTTGGCCACTTTAAGATGAGTGGACTTCAACTCCCAGAATTCCCCAGCCAGCATGGCTGGCTGGGGAATTCTGGGAATTGAAGTCCACTCATCTTAAAGTGGCCAAGTTTGGACAACACTGAGCTACCTGCTGTGTGCTGGTCCCCATACTTCAGCTTTGCTTGGAAGGGATAGATTCATCTGGGGGAGAACAGAAGGCAGAGGATATCAGCTGATTTATATTAATTTGTCAATGCTTCTCAAACTGGAACAGAAGAGGCTTGGAAGATCCAGAACCAACTGAGTGGGAAAGGACAGCTCCTGAAGTGCAAATACTGTAGATCCATCTCCCTGAGGTTCAAATCAATTTCCTGAGTATTTAGAAATGCATTTCATACAACTAGGGCAAATATATATATAAATAGCACTGCTTGTCAAAAACCATTGGGACTATTGAAGTACAGTAGGAAAAGTGGTAGTGTTATGTGGTGGTTGGAGCATTATTATTGCTTACTGCTCCCACAACTCCAAATCCCTGCCTGGCTATAAGAATCTCCCCCTGCCCCTCACCCCCCAATACCTTCTCAAGCCTTACACATAATAAATTATAAAAATAAATGACTATATCTAGTGGAATGTCTTGTCAGGTAACTAACCTTGCTCAGAACAGCTCCCTTGCTTTTCTGTTTGTAGTCACCACTAAATAAACACACAGTTACCGAGCAGACGACATGTAATTAACACACATATCATAACTCAAAGAAGCTTATTTTCACTCCCAATCAACAGAGAAGAAAAGTTGATATTCACAAAGATATAAAAACAGCTCTCTAAAAGTACCTCTTTACTGCTTAGCAGAACTTTCCTGTCTTTTATTTCTGTTATTCCTTCAAGTCAGGCTTTTCATCTTATTCTGGAGAAGAGATCTATTACTTTTGTCTTGTTTTGTTTTGGCTACCATAATTGTATGTCTCTGTGAAAGCACTGTGCTGAGTTAGCTCCCTCTGAGAAAGCAATTTTTGTGGCTGCATCAGAGGAAGAGAGGAAGAAACCTACTTTGGATTCTAAAAAGACTGGCATAAGATAAATGCATTTGGCTAAAAGTGCTGAAAATTCAGAACAAGTGAGGGGGCATTACTTAGAGTCTCATCTTTCTCTTCCTCCTCTAGTAAACCTGTTTTCTTCATTTCTGTAGTTCTACCAAACAGCTTACTCCAGCCAAATTCAGCACATTTCAGGTGAATTTTAGCTTGATTCTTCTACATTTCAGATATATTATATTTACAACTTGGCTATAAACTCGTTTCAGGGGAAGTAGATTCCACTGGTTTCAGTAGGCTCTACTTTCATGCAACCACTGTGTTCAATGTCTTGCAAATGTGGTTTTCCCCAGTCTGATATCTTCCAGTTATGTGGGATTAATCTGAACCCATCCAGAGGACACCAAGTTGGGGAAGATTACCATGCTGTAAAACTTTACAAAGGAAGCTGTGAGTTTCTTTAAATGAAGATAAATTTTCTTTTCTGAAAATAAGGGAAATTACTATTAAAACAGAATGTTTCCATCTTTAAGTTCAAAACAATCCAATCCATTATTCATACCATGCAGTCTTAAAAAACAATGCACTTCACTATATTATCTCAGGTGTATATATGTATAATGCATGTAATGTTTTCTTTAGCCTTCAATAACTCATATTAATAGCAAGCATCACCTTTCTCCCCAACCCAAGCTTCTAACCCATTATTCTCTAATAAGCTTCTTAAAAGGTTTTCATGTACATATAGATGGATGGAGGGAGGGAGGGAGAGAAAGGCAAAACATAATAAAACACAAGAATGTAAGGGAAGTTTTCTGTATATTAATAATGGGCTACTGTCAAACACTGCATTAAGAAACTGCCTGCAATTCACAATCCACTTACTCTCCCAAGAAATTTCTATAGGCATGCCCAGGAACTATTATTTGTAAGCTGCAACCAGAAATTTTGGAACTGTAAATATATAATTTTGCTGAATTTTAGCTTAGCTTTGGGGTAAATAAATAAGGACCGTGCTGTTACTATCTAACCTTTTCTTTGCCCTTTCCTCTCCTCCCCTCTTTTCTTTTAAGTTGAAAGGATACTACAACCGCAACTTCCATTAATGCTGTATCACGTCAACTTCTGATCTGCCAATTCTCTCCCGCCTGGGCTTCTCGGCTCTTAAATCCGAAAGGGCAAGTCTAGAGAGGCCATGTCGGCTACCAGAAGCCGCTTCGCCTAGGAGGCCCGGGACCGCTCCACTGGCAGGGGGCTCGGCCAGGCTCACCAAAGCGCCTCGCCCTTCACCGCGTTGTCTCCCAGGCGCCGGGCAGCCCTCCCGCCCGCAGTGGCTCGAGCGGCGGTCGGCTGCGCCGCCACGACCTTACGGTGCAGCCGAAAGATCGGGGCAAAGACGTCCCGCTTTGGGGAAAAAGAAGCGACCCACCGCGCGGGGTTTTTCGCAGAGGGGGCGGGCGACCTTCACGACGTCCTGCGAGCCGTCCTGTCCCCGTTCCCTCCCCAGCCCGGCAGACCTGTTGCGACTCCCGAGGCTTACCGAGCTCCGCGCCTCCTTCCTCGCCTCCTCGCGGTCCGCGGCTCTCCCAGCTCAGCTCGGCGCTCGCTGGAAGTTTGAAACGGCTCTCCCGGCAGCCGCCAGCAAAGGCTTCAGACGGGAGCGCGGAGCGGGAGGAACGGCCGGCCGGATGCTCACCTGGCAGAGCTCGCCCCGCCGCTGAGAAGAGCGGCGGGGAGACGAGGCAGGAAGAAAGACCAGCGGAACCGCTTCAGGGCGATCAAGCGGCGGGGAAGCGTCTCCGGCGAATGAATAGACGCCCCCCCCCACCCCCTCCCGCTTAACTGGGGAGGCGAGGCTCAGTTCGGGGCTGCTGCTGGCACTGGGAATTCCTGCGAGCCTCGTGTGAAATCACCCCGAGCAACTCCGAGCTTCTGCGGAGCGCCCGTTCGTAACTCTGCCGCAAGCTCTGGAAACAGAAGGCTTGACTTCTGAGCCCTCCGGCTCCCCCGTAAGAAACGGCGCGCTGGGCAGAGGAGAGGGGCGCTCCCGCGTCTCCCAGTCTCCAGCCTCCTGGGAAGTCACGCCAAGGAGTTCGGAAGAGCAGGCCGCCCGGAATGGGAGACTGTGCCTTGCGGATGAAGACGCCTTTTCTTTGCCCGACCCTCCGAAAAATAAATCAAATCGAGGGGGAGGACTGGGAAGCAAGCGAGGGAGGGTATTTGAATCCTAGCTCTACTGTGCTTCACAGCCTGGATTAGAAAAGGTCGGGTGCTGCTTAATTAAAAAAGCACACACGCAAGGGTTCAGGGCGCTGTGGCGACCTGGAAGTCTTCCTCCCTCTTCCCCTTTCATGTAGGATTTCTGAGCACTTTTTTAAAAGGAAGATAGCTGGGAGATGACATTTTCCACTGCTTTGGAGCCAGATCATCTCAGCACCATCTGCCAAATACTCCTTACCTGTGCAGCTGGGTGCTCCATAGGAAGGATGCCAAATCCAGAGGCAATTTACACATGCAAGGTCGGATCAAATAGTAAAACTCACTCCCCCCCACTCCAGGTATGACCTCATACCCTGATTCTGCTAAATAGGTAGCCAACCCTTCATGTAGGATCTAATCTGACCAAGCTATTCTAGCATTTTAGTCTCATTTTGGTGACAGATGACCCCCTCACGTACATTCATACATTTCATAATACATTCTCCTGCCACTACCTTTTCCTCAATCTTTTTTTTTTTTCCTGGATTACTTCTGTCCCACATTTTTCAATGATCACAGCTTCTGTGCCCTACCAAGTCACCTGTTCCATTCTCAGGAATATAAATAACCACTGTCTTCTTAACCTACATCTCAGTTACACAGCTGACCGTATTTTACCAGACTTCAAAAATGTTACCTCCTATTTTTTTCACTTTCAGTATTATATTGTAGCTTGTGGCATATCTCCATGCCAAGTGAACACAAAAGCTGCAAATATTTAACCTTCTCCAGTCTGCCTTCTTCTCCCCCATTGCAATTGATGTGGTTATAAACCTGGCAGATGCTGTACAGCACTCATTAACAGATCCCTGCTGCTACAAGTAGCAATTCTTTTTTGAAAAAATAGACTAGAAACAACAGTCAAGAGTGCCCCAGAAATAAAAAGTCTCTGATGTTGATGTAGCTCTGAAACGTTTGCAGTGGTCTCAGAGAAAGCTTCGTTCATTCATTCATGAACCTTTCTCTGAAACCATCAGAAAAGTTTCAGAAACATTTGCCTTCCGAATTCTTCCTATTAAGAAAAATAGAACCTGTTGGGTAAATAGGCTATGGAATACAGTCAAAATGATGTAAATAGTTAACTCTTATATTTATATAAGTTTGGATTAATAACCCAGGAGGTTCCACCTCCACAGCATTGCTGTAATTATATTAGTCCACTGACTGCCAATTCAGTGTAGCTGTTTGAACTTTATTTTTTCACATCTAGGGAGGGTAGAAAACCTCAAAGGCACTATATGATAAAGCAACCCTGCAAAACGAGCTTTGCATGTGGTTCCAGATCTTTCTACATCTTGAGGCTAAACTAACTGCAGAACCTAAGCTACAGTTACTCACATTCAAGAATTTGAAGGAGCAAAACCAATGTCAAGACCTAAACCAAAAACTGTAATCTACCAAGGACCTTAAACTCAAGTTAGCTTCTCTATTAGCTTGCTCTGTTAGCTTGCCTAGACATTGATAGACATTTGCAGGGGCTACCTCACATGTTATTGCAACAATGCTAGTATTTTTGGATGGGCAAATGGGAAGTAACTAACTACAAAACCATAGATATTCACTTTGCTAATTGTATATTTTACACTGAAACATAAATCTAACACTTACTATCAAAATATTATGGTGATTGACACCATCAGCATTTACTGTACAACTGTATAAAGGTTATTTACATCCTCCTTCAGTGGACAGATCCTTGTGGTCTGTCCCCTGCACAGTTTAATAAACTTGGCTCAAGCTGATCACGTGGTCTCCACTCATCAGTTGGGTCGTGGGGAATTTTCCCCTATAAAACAGTTCACTTTGGGGAGTGGAGGGAGGAGGTAGAATTGCAAATCATGTTTCAAATGTGTTTCCGGCCATAGCTACTAAAGAAATACTACACCTGGAAAACCATAAACCTTATATTGTCTCCTACTGATGTCATAATCTGCTTTTCACTGTTGCCCAGCTGAACAGCCATTGGATAGGCACAAGGAACAGGCTACTGCTTCTCCACTGGTAGTGGAGAAATGATGCATTTAGCAGGGTCTTTTGGATGGTGGGGGACAATTCCAACAATTTTGTTGGAGATTGCAGCTTTCTGCTTGTCAATACCAGAAGCAAGCAAGCCAGCCCTCTTTTCTCATGCTCCCCTCTCTCCTCCTTCCTCACCACATAATCCAAGGCAGAGCTATTATTAAGAGGTGGGAAAGAATTCCAGAAGCCATGCTCTGCAAGCCTTCCTGCCTTGTTATATTCTAAGAATGCCTCTTGGATCTATTTGGGGCTCAGAGGTGTTCCTGGAAACATAGATTATACTTGAGGGTAACACCTTGCTTTGCAGAATCCTGGCAGCTTCCCTTAAAAATGTCAGATGAGGAAAGGTGTCACTAAGGGAATTGTTGCTGGGGAATTTGATGTACCCCTCCAATAAAGGACCTCAGCCTTACCTTGCAGGTCCTTGCATGTCTATTTAAAAGGAAGTTGGACTGAGTGTATGTTCCCAGATAAGTGAGTACAGTATTACTGAAATGGGAGATTAGAGGAGCCAAGGGGAAAATTAGGAGTAGAAGGGGGTTTTGCTTGAAAGTAAAGTGAACCCATTTCTTTCTAATGTCCAAAACAATTTCCTGGTCTGAGCACATACTTAGAATGTTTATTTATTACCCTGAAACTTGTTTTGTTGCAGACCTTCAAGATAATTTATAGATTGACTAGGTTCAGACCCTGGCAAAGATTTAAGTTGTTTTATAAGTCTTTGGTTTAGTACAATGTCTTAGCAAATCCAACCATTATGACTATAAATCATAGGTCATGGATTAGCACAGTGTTTGAGTCTGACCACCATGTTATCTCCTATTGACTTTTTTTCCCTACTGAAAATGATACACTGTCCATAGTTTTTCTCTTGATTTTTTTCATAACACACCAGCTGCTCCTTGAGATAGGTAGAGCTGAAATTTAGTAATTGGCCCAAAGTTATTCAATGATGGCTTTTTTTCCTAAAATGAATTGACAGCACAGTCCTGCACCTCCTTTTTACCAACAGGAAATGTATTATAGTCTTTGGAGATTATTCTTATGAAAGTATGCATTATTAAGTATGCATTATTTTTGAAAAGTACAGATAATATCAGCTGAAAAACATGTTGATGCCATTCAAACAAGACAGACACAGGGAGCAAGAGAGTGCTAAATAGTACAAAGTGAAAGTGAAAGTGGAGAGGAGGAGAGGAAAAAGGAATTTAACTGAGAGGTGTAAACCACAGAGGCTGCAGATTGCTGAAGAGATGGTTGTACAATTGACAGGAACACCCATTCACAGACATACTTCAGTAATGAAATGTTCTCCTTCAGAAAAAAATGCTTGAATGCAAATTCTTTTTCACTGCAGCAAAGAAGGATGGTCAAAATATACAAGATATTTTTTGGCACAGCATTTATTGCAGCTTTAATTGAAAGTCATTACATTTATCTTCTGGGGAAGAAATGGCGAACTGAAGATGACGACAGCAGTGTGAACAGCCAGTGAGTAGACAAAGAGAGGACTTGAGACTGCCCACAAGTGCTCCATACAGTTGCTCCTCATGAGGTGAATGCAAGACAGTGGTCTCTGATAGGTTTAGAGCTCTGGGAGATGAGGGAATAGCCATCTTGCTCAAGCCATGGTTGGTGCCTTCAAAAGGACAGTGGGTTCACATACTTCCTTTTCCAATCACTTTCAGAAGCTTGTTAACTGCTTTTCAGCTATTATGAACCTCTGGATTGGCAAGTTTTACAGCACCAGGTGAGTTTCCTTCAATCCTTAGTAAAAGAAGTTTTAAATACAAGTTTAAGGACTCAATTTTTTTTTTATTTTGGAATAAACAGCAAAGGGATGATTAGAACATTGATTTTGGAAAATTACGAATGGACGAAGGGTCCAGATGGATTCAAAATAAGATTTTGGAATTAATTATAAGAATCCTTCCCATAGGAAAATGCTTTTGTTTTGAATTCTCTTTAAAAAAAAAACATGATAGCATGAGACTTTAAAGGTTGGACACTAGAGGGAGCCAGAAGGAACTAAAGATTATAATTAAAGGAGAGGAACACTTAAACTTGATTTACTAATACAGAATGGAGCAAAATATTTTAACACTTAACATATTGAAGGATATTTTTGAACAATGGAACCCAAAGTTAATTTTAAGAATATCTGTGTTTAAACGATATTATGAAAGAGAAGCAAGTTTTACCTGACAAGATTGTGACTTATCTGAAAGTAGATTTAAAAATGGCAGGCTACAAGAACGATGTGGAAAAAGATGCTACACCAGATTTACAAAAGAAACTGGCTGATGTCTTAATAATTAAAAGGGATATACAAATAACAAACCAAGACAGTGACCTGGATAATTTTCCTTTATTGGATTTACAAAACAGGTGTGTTAAAGCTTTGAAGAATTTTGTGAGAAGGGACAAAGAAAAAATGAAAAGAAATCAAGTTCTAGGACATTATTTGAAGGGAGTAAAGATCAAGAATGTTAAAAGTAAAAAGGAAGGAATATAAAGTTGGTTTATTTGATCAAGGTTAAAATGAAGGGACAAAGAAAAAATGAAAAGAAATCAAGTTCTAGGACATTATTTGAAGGGAGTAAAGATCAAGAATGTTAAAAGTAAAAAGGAAGGAATATAAAGTTGGTTTATTTGATCAAGGTTAAAATAGATATGTTGTTATCTCTGGTAACCCTTAATGGACTTTTGTTGATCAGGACTCAGATGAGAAGGCTTT